AGGTTTATCTAGGTAAATTTTCAAACTGTTTTGTTTTTCTTCTACTAGTCTTTCATTAAGATTTTTCAAAGCTTGTTCATCCTCCTCTGATTGCTCTACCAACTTCATATTTTTTACCTTTTCTTCAGCAAGTCTTCTAACAAAATCAAGCAACATGGTTTTGTTGTTATCAAGTTCTCCTACCAAGCTCTCTATTTTGTTTGCATGCTTTTCATTGCATCAATCCTCACAAACTCCCACAGCATCTAAATGGCAACTAGCACTTACCTTTTCAAATTTGAGTTCTTTTTCTAATTTTTGATTGGTTTTTTCTAGAATAGTATTCTTTTCTTTTAGTTCTTTATTTTCTTGGTAGGTAAAACTAAAAGCTTCTTCATAATTTTGGGCTTCCTTACCAAAACTTTTAACAATATTTTCAGGAGTGAATCCATTGTTGAAAACAACTCTTCCGATTTCAAGTCCATTCTTTTCGGGATAACTTATTCAACCATTTTCAGGTCAAGTAAATCTTTCTAAGGTTTTCAAAGTTACACCAGTATATTCTTCTATATTTTCAGTAAGACCATGAACCGCATTTCAAATTCTTAGTTTAAAATTCTCTTCCTTATCAGTTAATTGCTTTTCTAAATTGGCAATTTTGTCTGATAGTTCTTTGTTTCTTTCTTGGAGATTTGTTATTATGTTTGTCATGATTTTCTTCTTTTAATATACTTATATCCTTAGGGTATGTTAAGTATATAATTATTTTAGTACTTTTTTGCTTTAAAAGTGGAAAAAGCTAACAATATTTGTCAAAAGATTAAAACTTATTAAACATAATGACAGTAAGGGATAAATTAACAAGTGACAAAGTCATAGAGGTGATTTTATCCTAAATATTTTATTTGTTGCCAGTATAGAATGGTCTTGGACAAGTAATATCTTTGTATTCATCTTTCACAAATGGGCGAATATTATGATAAAGGTATTCTTGCCTTTTATAATCCAAAGGAGGAGGTGTTAACACTAAAATAGATAAAGCTCTAATTTCTTTAAAAATATCTGCTTTCTTGGTTTTCAATAAATTGAATTCAGCAAAAGGTCCATTAGCAACTTCTTGAACTTTCACTGTACCAAGGTTAGATGCTTCAAAAAGAAAATGTTGATATCTCTGGATGCCTGGTAATTTCTTAAAATAAATTCCCAAAATGGCTTTAAGATCTAAGTATTGAAAACCTTTTCCACTCTCGTAACATTGAGCTTGATTCAATCCTGCTGGACTAGACTTTTTTATCAACTCAACCACATGATCCAGACAATCTACTCTGGTTCTTCTATACAGTTTTTTAATCAGGCCAAAATTACCATCACATTTGAATTTGGTATGTCCTGGGATCATGAAATTCAATTTAATACTTTCATAATATCCACAAATTGCCAAATATAAATAAAATCAAATAGTGGTGTTATTTTTATTTCGTCCACCAGCATTATCACAAGTAATCTTTAAATGCTTTTCACCTTTATTCAATTTCCTAATTCCATCAAAAATCATACTAAGAGTACCATTAGGTCCTTTTCCTATAACTTCATCTTTATTAAGAACATAATTAATTTGTTTCCTTATTGCTTCATCTTGAATACCAAATAAATGAACTTTACATGGACTAAGGTAGTAAATTTTACTTACTTGTTGAACTAAATGTGGCACATGAACATTTTGAGCTCAATCATAACTATAATGTGCAGTAGCATCAATGCTGCAATATTGTGTTTTACTCTTTGAATAATCTTGATTAATTAATTTTCTTTGTTCTTCTGCTAATTTGGTGTTTTTATTGTAATAATTCCTTTCTAATTTGGCTTTAGACAGATGTTCTTTAAATCTTTTGAGCAAATCTTTAGCTTCTTCCTCTTGGCAAGCATTGTAATGTAAACCATCTCTAAAATGTTGACAAGTATCACACAAATTAGTCCTGGGACTCATAATTTGAATTTCTGGTGTCAATTGATGTCACAATTTTCTGAAAGCATCATACTTCAAAGATTTCGAATTACTATCTTCTTCTAGACCAGCTAGAAAATCTCTGTGCACCGACTTATAACTCATTTCAACTGGTAAGAATACAATTGATTGAGTTATTTTATTGTTACTTCTTCCTGGACTTGGCAAACCATGGACTTCTGCATAATTTTCTAGAAAATTCTTTGCTACTTCTGCAACATTTTTATCAATCACCATTTTAGTTTTTCATTGAGGCATCCTTTTAATATTATCATGAACTCTTACTAAAAGACCATTGTTTATTAGATGATTTCTGATATTTTCAAAATAAGTTCTGCCAACTCCCAACATATTAAGATAAGTTTCTTGACAAAGAAGTGTATTGTGATTCCAATGATAGAAAGTTCTTTTATTAGATCTGGTTTTCTTTTTAAGGCATATGCTAGTTCTTGTTGATCCACCATCCATTGCTTTCAGCTGGGCCATTAAAAATGTGTCTTGCTCTGTTTTAGAAAGGATTCTCTTAATTCTGCAAATTGTTTTTTGTGAATTCTTGAAGAGCAACCAAAACCACAACCACAACCTTTTTCTAAAAAATCAATTGCTTTTTGATATTCATTAGAACCATTGTATTCATTATTACTTTTCATATACACTTATCCCTATATATAATTTATGTTCACTTTGTAGGTTTTTGAGAAGTTTAAAATTTGTCAAACTATAACATTGTAAAATAATGAACAACCAAACATTCACATTTATTTATATTTTTACTATTTTAATTATTAAAATAAGTATATCATCATATAATTATGTTAAGGAAATAGACTTCTATTTTATTCTATCACTTTTTTCAAATCATTTATATTACAATACATTTATATAATGAATTTGAACCTATTTTTTTATTAAATTTATATAATCTTTAAACACTTTCTTAATATATAAACCTTTCTTCCTTTAAGCAAGCAACATATTGTATCACTATTTTGTTAATCCAATCATTGAATTTTACTGATTCATCTTTTTTTTTTGGTTATATACATATGGTTGTTTTCTAAAGTTGTTAAATAAATAATCAGGAACAATAAAATAAAGTTGTGCTTTATTATCTTGTGATATTTGAAACTTCTCCAAGAGTTGTCTGAATCCTGCTTGAAGAATTGGATGTTTTTCTGCTACAGTGATTTGAAAAAAAATGTTTGGGGCTATTACAGCATCAACTGATTCAAAATTTTTGTTAATCGGATGACAATACATTCCATTTTCAATTTCATCAATTGTTTTGAAGGTCATCGATGTTAATTGTCCAAAAGAAATAATTTCATCAGATGTTTCTCTTTCAAGACATCAAATCTTAACTGAACAATTTTTAGGAACTATTTTGTGTGCAATTGATTCCAGCAGATGTCCTCTCAAGGCATCTTCAACAGGATATAATGGTGGGTGTTGGATAAATTGCCATAATAAGGAATGGTATTGTTCTTCTAAATAATCAAGCACTTCATCACCAACATATTTTGATGCAAAATATAAAGTTGATTGTGTATAAGGTGGTAGTTGTATATAAATATTTGGATTGGTGGTATACTCAACAAGCTCTTCATTGACATTAAAAGGAAGGTTAATATGAATATGAACCAGCCAATGACTGAATTTGTCACCCTCAGACTTCCAATGTAATTTAGAATGTCATTGCTACATTTTTTGATACATAAATTAATTGTTGCTTTTATTTTTCTATGGAATACATGTTGATCGTTCTTGGTATTCCACCACACATCAAGAATTTTTTTTGGTATCCCTCTTTTGTCCTTCCACTAAGGTTCAAATCCATGATTTCATCTTCATCCCAAGTAGGCATATAAAGGGTGCTGACTACAAATTCTCCTGGTTTTGTGAAATTTTTGACAAATGCTTCCTATGGTGATGACACCATTAAAATTTTGCACCATTGATAATCATGATTAACAGGAGGCTTAATGCCACCAATAATGATCCATGCTGATTTATTACCAAAAATATACATTGTAAACACTTCTTCAGTGATTTTTTCACCTTTTCCAGCCTCAAAACACAAGTACCAAATAAGGTTTTCCCAATCCCTGGGTTTCCAGTAATAAGGAATCTCATATGTGTTGTATCATTCTTGATAATTTTTTGAAGATCTTGATAACAACTTCTAATAAAAATTCTATGGGACTGAAAATTTGGAAGAAGTGGAAGCTCCAAGTGTGATTTTCCCAATCAATTTCATGTGAAGCTTTTATAAACTTGTTGACTGCTCTTGGTAGTGACTTGTCTCTAGTTTTAATTTTTTGTTATGTTGTATTTTATCATCTATCAAAGTGCAAAAGCATTTAATTAATAATGTATTATGAAAAGAGTGAACAAAAGAAGGAAAAAAATACAAAATTTTAAACTTGAATTTTTAAGCAAACATGTTATAGAGATGAATAAAATGGATAATAAGTTAATTGAAATTGTAAAACACTCAAATAAATAAATAAATGAAATGGAATGAATGAAAAATAATTTTTTGCATACTTTTTACGCAATTTGTTCATTACCTTCTTTGCCAAGTCCAACTAGTGCTTTCTGCAAATCCACCACCTGATCTCCCTGCTTCTTCTTCTCTCTTTCCAACTCTTCTTCTTTTCTTTCCAAGATTTCTTTCTCGCCGGCATACTTTTCTTCTTCACCTTCTCTTAACTTTTCCAACCTCTCCAACAACTTCTCCGCCTTCCCTAATCTCGCCTTTGCATCATTTAACTCTTTTCTAATCTCTTCGATATTTGCCATTTTGTTAAAAAAAAAATCGTAAAATTTTTTTTTTATTGATTTGGATCGTAATTGTTACAATTAATTGTTTCCATAAATAATTTGGACCAATGATAAATTAGTGGGCACATGACTTGGAATTTATTTTTACAATGATTTAACGACAAAAGAAAATTATTTTTATTTTAATTCAACTAATAATAGAAAAATACATAAATAATTTATAAAAATATAAGTTAAAGGATTGTCAAAGGATTGTATTGGAGGAAAATACTCAGACCCAAAGCCATTTGTAAGTATTACCTATTCTTTGGGCACTACTAACAATTTACCACGCGATTCCTCCTATCCTTAAATTGATCTCTATAAGCCGATTTTATTAAACCAAAGATTTTTTTTTTTTTTTGACTTCGGTTTACGAGTTCTGACTGTAATTTTTTTTATTTTATGGTATAAAAAAATAAACACCTACAAAAATATTGATCATGGAAATTCCGAGAATAACAAAAAAATCATCTCAAGAAATGAGTGAGTGTATATACAATTAATTTCAAATAATTAATATTTATCAATCAACTTCCAATAATTAATATTACATGATTACCTTGACGAAACTTCATATGTGAAAATACAGTTATGTGAATTTGAAATTCACTATATTTAGCGAATTAAAAGTAATTTCACACTCACAAAACCATGACTTTCATTTGATAATTACTACAATCTGTTAGTACTAGTACGTATCCAAGAAATCACTGATTACATAACAATTTGGAATTATCATTTATCAAATGATTTTATCACTTTTTGATATATTAATATTAATTATTAATACACTGTAAAAAATCACTTCACGAAAGAAAGAATGCGTTTAATTCCTGTGCCAGACCTTCCTCCAGTTTTTTCTATTCGTGTTAAATATCCCCAGGGATCTACATACAAAGCACATGTGACATCGGACACTACTATAGAGCTATTGCTGAAGTCCGCTAAAGAATATCTTGAAGAAGAACAAAAAAATTATGACTATAAGCTTGTAAATAGTAAGCAGGCCATGCAATATACTGATACTCTTAAGAAGCTAGAATTAAAAGTGGGTGTTTATATACAAAAATATTTCTGAAATGAATTTTATTATAAAAAAGATTTGTTTATAGAAGGGAAAGAAAAATACATACACGCAATATCAATCAATAATTTTTATTATTATTAGGAAGGGGATTTAGTTGAAATGAAATTGATTCCATTTGAAATTTATGCAAAAATGCAAACTGGTAAAATTATAAAACTTCATGTGACTGCCAGAAACACTGTTTCTGATATTAAAAAAATGATTGAGGATAGTGAAGGTATTTCTCCTGGTCAACAATGTCTTACTTTTGCTGGCAAGAAACTAAGAAATGGGTGTACCTTGAGTGATTGCAATATTCAAAATGAGTCCATAGTGAATCTTGTGCCTAGATCACATAGAAGTGGGAGCATGAAAATTTTTGTGAAAATAACTGGGAAAACTCTTACTCTGTATGTAGAACCAAGTGACACCATTGATAGTGTAACAGAAATGATAGAAGATAAACAAGGTATTCCTTCTGATCAACAACGGCTTATTTTTGCTGGCAAGGCAATGTTAAGTGGACGTACCTTGAGTGATTACAATGTTCAAAAGGAGTCCACATTGCATCTTATACATAGATTATGTGGAGGAATGTTTCAGGAAACCAGTGGACGCCTAGAATTCAGTGTATTACCGCCACTTACACAATACCTGCAGCTGCAAGCTCCTGAAATACATATGCAAGGTAGATCTCATGTTGGTATTGTTTGTAATCATTGTGGTAAAAAAGAATGGAAAGGTGCAAGGTAAAGTAATTAATTAGATTAGCCAATTTTTGTTACAAACCATCAAAATATTTATTTTATTTCATCGATGCAATTTATTTAGGTTTAACTGTTCAACATGCCTTGATTATGACTTGTGTTATGAGTGTATCAAAATGGCCAACTTGCTTCATGATAAGCAACATAATTTTGTGGAATACTTGTATCCAGTAAATGAAAAAGATACTCCAAAAAAAGATATCACAACTAATCCTATTACTGTATTACCAATACTTCCAACAACAAAAGAAGAGATGTTGAATTATTACATGAGGAGGAAAAGCGAAGAATGTCACCAGAAATGCAACAACAATATTACAAAGTTGGAAGCGATCCCACATCTGGCAAGGACTGGATGGATGTCACTGATCAAATGCAACATGAGTTAGTTCGAGAGTTTGGTTACTCGGATGAAGCTGTGCAATTATTAAGACGTGCTCCACAACTTTATCAAGGTGAAAAGACATTCTCCTTTTTTTTTGTCATTGTATTATTCTTAGCACTATTCATTAATTTTCTTTATTTTTTCCAGATGATCCTGAATTTTATAATACTCAATTATATGTTCGCAACAACATTGCTTCTGTTGGAGACCTCAAAGAAGGAATGCCAGCACCTGATTGCCCACTGGTTTCCTTAAACACTACAACAATGAATGTTGAAACTATCAGTTCACCACCAAAAATAACTCAATTGCACTCTCTTTATAAGCAAGGACGACCTTTTGTTCTTCTTGGTGGATCACATACTTGTCCTTTATATCGTTACATATCTCATGTGCTTAATGACATTTATGAGAAATATCAAGGATATGCAGATTTCTACATGATTCAAATTCGTGAAGCACATGCCAGTGATGTTTGGCCTATTGGTAATATTGTTGATGTTAAAGAGCACCGTACATTGGAAGAACGATTAGCAGCTGCACGTGAAATGGTTAAAGCTACTGATCTGAAGATTCCTGTGCTTGCTGATACAATGGATAATAATTTTTTGAAGTTGTATTCACCTTGGCCATTCCGATTTTTTGTAATTGTAGATGGTATTTTGAAACTTGTTGGAATGCCAAAAGAAGCACGATATGATACAACAGATCTAGTCAATTGCTTGGACACTCTTATTTAAAAATTATCCAGTTGGTTCTCAATTTAATTGTTAAAAATAAATAAATAAAAAAAATGATTTCATCATATCTGTTTATATTATATATTAATGAATATATTGTAAGTTATATTTATTTACTTCTTGATTCAAATATCATGTGATCCATTTATTGGTATTTAGAAACTTTTTATGGTACAGAAGCTTTATGAAGCTTTGCCATTGTAAATTCTCCTACAAATAATATATGATTTCCTTTGAATTTTATAGTAATAGAATATAAGGGCATTAAATATAATGTAATATATTTTTACTTTAGATTACCATGAGAATCAAAAATATTACTTGACCTTCTTGCTTTCTTCTTCAACAATTTCAGTGAATGATATTCGTGATTTTTTATTATTCTTTCTATGATTATTGACGTGCGTAGCGCATTTTTTTAATGCTTGTTTTTGAATAATTCTATAGCTGAAGACCATTTGTCATTTCATTTACTCCGGCTTGTTATGGAATTAATAATATAATCATAACCATAATGCAATTATAAACACAAATAAAATCATTTTATGGTCCTAAGGTTGGAAACCAATGGATCAATGTTTAAATAAAAAAATAATAAACCATTTTTATATGATATAAATAGAGTAACGAGTTGCATCACTAATTACTACGACCATTGAAAAGATTTTCTTACATGATCAACTGGTATTAATAATATAATTGTTTTCTTGTGATTCATTTATAGCGTTAATTATTGTCGAAGACATCATCTATTTGCATTGAAAATAATAAAATCTTTTAGGTTTATCTTCGACTGATCAGCAAACAAAAAAAGATACTAGGATCTTGTTGATATTTCATTTTTTTCCGAATTCTCGCTAGTCAATACTTCTGTTGATAATATATTTGTTGTTGGTTTTCTTCACATGAAAAATGGAAAAGAAAAATATTGATTATAATTGAAACAATCAAACCAAAAATGGCACCACAGAATATCGATAATAATAACAATCCATAATTCCACTTTCTGAATTTTCGCCAATAGTTATTGTTACTACCGCAAAATTACCCGAATTTTTTGATAATTGCTTCATATTTGATATATTAATATTAATATTAATATTAATATTGTGCGGCGAATTCGAATTATCAAAACACGTGATTTCACAAAGGAAAATATTATCAAAGTGAACATTGGTATTACTAGAATACAGGGATCCATATTGTTTGTTTAACATCACCAATGTAACATGATCATGATATTTGTCTAGACAAAAATAGTTAATATGAAACTCATTTACTATATACTATGGAACCAATTTTATAAATCAAAAAATTGATCGAATAATTGATAAAATAGAACCAAGAAACGTCAATTCAAAAATAAATCAGACAAACTTACTAGTGATAAACAATATTCACAAGAAATAGAAAATTTATGGAAGGATTTCAAACAATTATTTGACAAAAAAGACTGAACCGAATCCAAATTTTTCATCAAGTAAAATGACCATTGAAAATCGTGAATTACTTGGAGAAGGAAAAAGTCCACAATAAAAAATTTCTACCAACGAAAAACAAATCCTAGAAGGAAAACAATAGAAGTAATTCAGGAATGGGTCAACAAAGAAAAGAAGTGGAGAGTGAAATTGACGAAGATAATGAAGAAAATATTAGTAATAATGAAAGTTGAATTTTTGTCAGAGTAGTTCAATTGTGTAACATAATCTTGAACTTTAAATTTCTGTCAAATAACGAGAATATATATACAAAGAGAAATTGTTACTATGAAATGAATTACCTCCACTAGGAATGTGTTACACCTCTTTAGAGATCTCTAGAAACTTGAATGTATTTTGCATAGAATTCAAAAAATTATTTGAGCAATGATTTATCACGTGATTCCCATACCCTTAATCGGTATACTCAAAAGTTAAAAATTTTTGAAATATTATGTAATCCACATGTTGGATTTTAAAAAAACCACCACCATTCAATTCAGCTTTTAAAAGGAGTCAATTAATGTAAAAAAAAATTTGTCTTGAAAAATTTTTTTTTATGGATTTTTTAAATTTGAGAATTATACTCATAACTGCAATTATAGATGGATGTCTAAATTGTTTTTGGGTTGTCTAAAGTCAAAATAGTATTTAGACAAAAATGTCTAAATGTCTAAATTAATATAGATAGTAATTATTTGCTTTAAATACAACTAAAAGTCATGTGTACATAACTCAAAATCCACAAAGTTCAGTAAATTATTCAATAAAAAATTCAATTTCAGCATTTTAGACAATTGAGACCATGATTGTCTAAATGTCTAAATTAATTTATATTTTAGACATTCTCTAAATAATTTAGTTTAGACACCCATCTATAGTTGGGATTAGGTCTTTTTTAGTGGATTTATTGATTTTTTGATTTTTTTTGATGGTAAATTTTCAGTATCAGAGATTGATCTTTTTACAGAAGACATTTTTAAGCAAAATTGGAGTTTTTTTTAATAATTTTATGAATAGTGTGAGTTCAGTTAATTAATGGATCAAAAAAAATGGTATTATTTATATGGGGCATGCTGCAACAAAACCAGACAAAGTGAACATTGGTATTACTATGAATTTCAGGGCTTGAATTTCAGTTCTCAATCAATGGATTCTACAAATGTAGAAATTATGGTAAAAAAAAATTTATTATTTTATAACTAGGTTGTATTGTAGTATTATAATAGGAAAAAAAATATATTATCCTAAGTTATATAAATCATTAATTTTTTTTGTTATTTTATAAAATTCAAATTCCTCTATCAAATGAACATTACTGACATTTTTAAGATTCAAATTATTTTCATAAGAATCTTGGCAATAATAACAATAAGTTTCATTATTATATGATAATTGTAAATCATCAAAATCTACAATCACTTCATGAAATTTTATATTATCAATAATGAGATCAATAGACTGTTCAGATGAAATATTGAATGTTTGAAAGATTTAACTCTACTTAATATTGAATTATTTAGTTGATTTTCATCAATTTTGAAAATAAAACTTTGTTTTGTTTCAATATAATAACTATCATTTGAAGATTTTTCCTTTATGTTATGGCAAACTGGGTTGTAACCACCTACTGATTCACCAATTAGCCCGAATTGAGCGATTCCGCCCAGTCTGGATAATCGTCATTAATCTCTACTAAATAAAGTTAAATAAATATGAATGTGCTACGGATTAAAAATAAAAATAAGAATAGATTAATAATAATAAAAATAAAAATAAAAAATAGAAATAAAATTTAATTTGACCCGAAATTAAAGGATTCGGCCAAATTATCTTCGTCATCGTCTAATTCTGGTAACAATATTATAGCACTTTTCCTCAAAAATTAATCTCCCAAATCCATCTCAAGTGCCTTGCAAAATTAATTGAAAATTATAAGGTATTTCATCTTCTTTATAATTGTATTCTTTCAAATCAATCCAACTGGATATTAAATATTTCATTCTTGAGTTTAATAAACTTCCCTCTTTTATTCTTATATGTTTTGATCATCTTCACTGAAAAGATCCATAATTGTCTTATTTCCAGTATCAATAATGAAACAAATGAATTAAACTGGTAGAATACAATTGCATATTAGTTCGTGGTCATGCTAACAACTCTATGAAACATATCTCAAATAATCAGACACCCACCTTTCATATGGTAAATCCTTAGCATATTCATACAATATGTCTTCTACATACTTATTTGAAGGTAATTTCCATTTCTTATCAGAACACATCTTTAGATAATTTGATTTAAACTTCTGTTTCATTTCATTGATTGCTCAATCATTGGATATATTTCAGGAGAGAATTACTGTATATACCTTGTCATTATCATCTATTGTATTGAAACCTTCCAATTTTATAATTGTTTCATCAGTATAGTCGTCATCCTCTTCATAAAAATTATTATTATTAAAATGAGAAAAATGTTCTGTAAAATATTCATTAACTACTATACCTTCATCATCATTCTTTTTATTAATGCTTTCAGTCATAATATGTAACTTTTTAACTGGTTCCACATCAAGTTCATCGAGAATACCATTGGTTTGTTGTTTGTATGCTGCATCAAACACATTCAATGCTGTAATTTGACTTTTGCACTTGGAAGCCGTCTTTAAGAATAGACAATTTAAAATACTGCATCAAATTATCCATACAACAACCATTAAAATCACAATAACTACCTTTTTGAGTGATAATTTTTCATCAAGTTTAACTAATTCCATGAGTTCCTTCACCGAAGGCGATTTTTTCTAAGATGAAAAAAAAATATAAAAGCTTATGTTTTGAAAAAAACCCTGAACGTATGTTGCACGAGGAACGACACCCCCCTAAGGCTGTGCAAACCCCTGGTTCAGGTAAAAAAAGAATAGAAACAGTAATGATCTGTTGTATGAGAAAATTGCCATGTTTCGTCGCTCTTCATCTTTATCTTTATCTTGAATATTTTTTAGTAACGCTATATATCTCTACTTCATGATCGCGAGTAAATCATCAGGTAGATTAGTGGTAGACCAGAAAGCCTTCACTGCCAGCAGAAAACCAGGAAACGACCATGAAATATGAGGTGTTTCTTCAAAGTAGTAGATTGCCACCGAATCTAAATATTTTGAAATTTTCAGTAAACGTCGAGTTACTTAACAGTTAACGAATAAAACAGTAAATGAGTTCAGACGTATCAAAAAATTTTTTTAGTAGGACTGTTCATTTCAAAGCTACTCAATAAATTTGTTATTAAAAAAAAATTTTTTTTATATATATGCGTGTTTATTCGTGTCAAAATAAAATTTGGTTTTTTTTCTAAGATTAGAAAAGTGTAACGTTGATCATAGCAAACAAAAAAAAATTATTATTACCAAAAATAGGGTTGGCTTGCTTACAAAAATTTATTTTATATATATTTGCGAAAAAAAGTTATTTGACCATCCAAATATTCCTTGTGCTAAGTAGAAAAGAATTGAAAAAGAATCAAAGCAATGGATGAGTAGCACACCTTTATTCTGCTTTCTTTTCTTAACGTTTAAATTTCATAGGTAATTCTTTCTTTTTCTTAGATAAGCTTGCTTCCAGTGTCCGAGTATCATTTATTTTGAAAATATAGGGCGCAATTTTCTCGTCTTGTTCTTTCTTCAAAATGCTTCTAATTGTACTATAATTCTTGTGTGATAATCCTATAAATATCATGATCACATTACATTTGTGATGACTAAATTTGATCCCTGAAATACCAATATTCGCTTTGTCTATATAAAGATGTTATTTATTTTATGGGATTCTTATCAATAACGAACCTTCCATCTTTATATGTGATTTTTTATTTGCGTTTACTAAGATTATAAGGAGAAATCAATTATGATTATATAAAAAAAGTGAAGTTGTTATAGAGATTTCGTTATAGAGAGTGTGAACCGTATATACAAGTATGCATATTTTATTTCTTCAATATAAAGCTTTACTATTATGTATCAAAGGATATTTAAGATTCAAATTTTAAATAATAAATTCAAATACGTATATTTGTACATCATGCAAAAAGAAAAACACAAAAAAACTCTTTTAAAGTTGTAATGACAAAGATCTTTTACTAAAATGTAAATGTGATAATTGCAAATGTTGATCAAAGTAGAATTTCCATTATGCTGACTAAGTGACTTGTTAATTTAAAGAAATCTAATCAATGTGGTACGAAATACTTACTAATTTACTAATTTGATTTTATTTGATTATATTAATATACTATATATATAATATCTAACATATTTGTAAGTATCACAATAATTAAAAATCGAGATCTACGTTGATTTATAATAAAAATTTTATTCCTAATCATTACTAATGCATCTTTCATTAGAAAAAAATTTATATATAAACGATGTCTTCTTCGATTTTTAAAAAAAGTTTTTTAATTAAAATAACAACAACAACAATTAAATAACAATAAACAAAGAATTGATATATATTTCATCTAATTACATCCAATTCAAATTAAAACTGAAAAAATGACAATTGTAAACAATCATACCGATCAAACTGCCAGTTCATTGCTTAAGAGCGATCCCAAACTTTCGTCTGGCGAAGTAAAAGTCGATACGAATAAATATGGAAAATTAGCAACCGAAGAAACAATAGCAAAAACCAAGGAGGCATTAGAAACCAAAGGTCATCAAGTTACTGTGTTGAATACAAGTGAAGAAGCATATGAATTTTTGAAAAAATTGATTCCTGCAAATGCCTCGGTTAATAACGGACATTCCACCACATTGGAAGAAATTGGATTTATCGAATATTTGAAAACAGCAAAAGAATGGGTTAACGTTCATGCAGAAATTTTGGCTGAAAAAGATTTTGCAAAGCAAAGTGAAATACGTAGACTCAAAGGTTACAACGTTGATTATTATTTGTCTTCTGCTTCTGCTATTACTGAAGATGGTGTAATTGTAAGTATATTTATATAAATGATCATTATTATGGAAAATTATTATTCATATATTATTATTGTTATCATTTTAAAACAGATTGGGGTTGATGCAAGCGGTAGCCGTGTTGCAGCATGGGTAGATACAGCCAAAACTCTTGTGATTGTAAGTGGTACAAATAAAATCGTAAAAGATGCTAATGAAGCAGAAGAACGTGTAACAAAATACTCTTTTGAACTTGAATCAGCACGTGCGAGATTAGCTTATGGAGTTCCTGGCAGTCAAATTTCTAATTATGTCTCGATTAGGTCTGCAAATCCTTTCAGTCCAACAAAACGTGTCCATGTTGTCTTAATTAAAGAAGTCTTGGGATACTAAAAGGAAGAAAGAAATTTACATATTCTAATTGTTTTGTTATTTTAGCTGTTGATTTTAGATCAATATTTATTGGTTATTTAAAATTATTTGTTATTTATTGTAAAGAATAAAAATATTTTGGTACACAAAAATTTATATTTAATGGTTTTGGGTATTATGCATATAAAATTTCATGCTTCGATTAAAAAATATAAATTACGTTCAAACTACCATGCATTCACATAGATGTTGAGTAATTTTTATACATATATAATATACCTTCAGAACTTTCTTCAGGTTATATACTGACTCTATTCCCTCGTGGAGAAAATATCAAATATAAACTGTTTCTTTAACTTAAAACCTACTCTTTGAGCGGTCTCCGGTTAAACTATCTTCGCTACGACTTTTTACATTCACGTCATTGAAAAATCAAAAACAACAAAATTTAAAGTATCCAAACCTCTTCTAATTCTTCAAATTTTTTGCTCAATTAGGTTTTTCGAAAACGAGTCTCTACAGTGTTCAATCGAATTAAGGTCAGGGGGACTGGCTTGGCCAACTTTTGGTTTTAACCATTCTTTAACTTTTTAGAGTCATAAATCGATCAGATTATCTCGATTATTAGAGATTAAGAGATAAGGTTGGAATATTTCAACGTAAATCGTGATTATTCATTTTTCCAGGAAGCAGTACCAAAACATTACATTACCACTTCCGCATTTAAGTCAATATTAAACCTTGCTCCAAGTACAAGTATCACCTAAACACGACCTGGACCATTATTTCTAAACGAGGCGAATTTACTTTCATCACTCCGTATTAAAATTTTCCCATGTTCCTATTCTCCATTTTTTTTTTATTACACTCAAACGATTTTTATTAATTAGAGGTTTAGAAGGCTTCTTTTTTGGTTGTGAATAAAAGCTTGCAAGCCCGTTTTCTGATTGAATTTGTTTTTTACTTCAGCTGGCTCATGGTTGTTTTCATTTCCTATTTGCCTCGAGGTAAGTTTGAAACATTGCCTTTCTATTTATAATTCTGTATATTTAGAACCATTATAGTTCTAGAAAAGCAAAGAATTTTTACTTTTGACTTATCACCTTTATGGAAACCAATAATCTGACTACATCCAACTTCAGTTAAATTTTATTAGAAAAAAGTAAAGCAAAATCACGTTAAAAAAAGAATTATATCTTGAGGATCAGATCATAGGGATGGGGACGGTTTATGTCACGTTCGGCGACGAATAATATTTTTAATAATTGATCCGTGACGATTAACTACTAAATTATAAGTGACAATTAACTTGTCTTGTTTTGGCAATATAAATGTCACCTGTAATTTAGTATATTAATCGTCACGGATCAATTATTAAAAATATTATTCATCGCCGGACGTGACATAAACCGTCCCCATCCCTAGGTAGAGGTATGACTATCTTATACTAAAGAGGAGTGACAAAGCGCTTTTTAGTGTACCCAGGAGTGTTGTGATACACTCTTAAGCAGCGGATGTATATATATACCTCTAATATAGTTGTTTCGGGTTCTTCATCAGCAATTAAGGAACCTCATTTTGGGGCACTCCACAAAGAAGTGTTTAAAATCGCCAGATCGCAACACCTTCTACCCAATCATATTCCTCCGTTAATCCAGCTTTCAAAAAAGAAATATATTTTTCATTTTTTGGAATACTAACTTTATAAATAAATCAAATA